TAATAGGACTAGTAGTAGTAGGACTAGTAGTAGTAGCAGTAGTAGTGGTAGAAATAGTAGTCGTATTCGTAGTCGTAGTAATCGTAGTAGTAATAGTAGTCGTAGTAGTCGTCGTCGTAGTTTCACAGTCGTAGTAGTACTAGAAGTCGTCGTAGTCGTGGTCGTCGTCGTAGTACTCGTCTTAGTAGTTCCAGTAGTCGTTGTAGTAGTCGGCGTAGTCGCAGAACTAGTCTTCCTAGAAGTGTTAGAAGTCGTTGTCGTAGCAGTAGTAGTTTCAGCTGCATTCCTTGCAGTAGTAGCAGCAGCAACAGTAGTTGTAGTAGCAGTAGTAGTCGTCGTCGTAGTAGTAGTAGTCGTAGCATTCGTAGTAGTAGTAGTAGTAGTAGTAGTAGTAGTAGTAGTAGTAGTAATAGTAGTAGTAGTAGTAGTAGTAGTAGTAGTAGTAGTAGTAGTAGTAGTAGTAGTAGTAGTAGTAGTAGTAGTAGTAGTAGTAGTAGTAGTAGTAGTAGTAGTAGTAGTAGTAGTAGTAGTAGTAGTAGTAGTAGTAGTAGTAGTAGTAGTAGTAGTAGTAGTAGTAGTAGTAGTAGTAGTAGTAATAGTAGTAGAGTAGTAGTCGTATTTTTAGTACTCGTAGTCGCAGAGGTAGTAGTAGTAGTAGCAGTAGTAGTAGTAGTAGTAGTAGTAGGAGGAGTAGTATTAGCAGTAGTAGTAGTAGTAGTAGTAGTAGTAGTAGTAGTAGTAGTGGTAGTAGTAGTAGTAGTAGTAGTAATAGTAGTAGTAGTAGCAGCATTCGTAGTATTCGTTGTATTCGTAATCGTAGACGTAATAGTAGTAGTAGTAGTAGTAGTAGTAGTAGTAGTAGTAGTAGTTGTAGTTGTAGTAGTAGTAGTAGTAGTAGTAGTAGTAGTAGTAGTAGTAGTAGTAGTAGTAGTAGTAGTAGTAGTGTTAGTAGTAGTGGTAGTAGTAGTAGTAGTAGTAGTAGTAGTAGTAGTAGTAGTCGTATCATGCAGGGCGCCCTCGGAGCCATTCTCGAGGAGAAGAGTGTCATGATCGGCGCGGTGAGCTGCGCCATGGGCGTGGATACCTGGCTCAAGAAGCTGCGTGCTGCTGGAGCGGAGCGCCGTGCGTTGAGGGGTCAATCGGCGCGGGGGGCGCTGCGTGCACTCCCGAGGAGGGCAAGAAGGGCTTGCTCGAGGCGCGCGACAGGGCGGCCGCGCACATGGGGGACCAGCGGGCCTTCAAGGAGGGGGCGGGCGGCGACGCCGCCGTGCAGGGCGCCTATCGCAAGATGGGCGACAATTCCGACCAGTTCTTCTAGGACTCCCAGTTCTCGATGAACATGTCTTACGAGTGCCAGGCCAGCAAGACCTGGGACAACCCCGGGGGCTGCAAGGCCGTCGCCCGCGCGGATCGCTGGGCGCAGCCCCCGACATTAGAGGAGGAGGCGACAGGCCGCAGCGGTCAGCCCTGGCTTTGCCGCTGCGGGGCCCGCTGCCAGACGACTTACGGCGCGCGCGTCGAGATGATCGACCGCGAAGCCCAGCCGCCGCGGGCGCGGCGCCTGCAGGCGGACTTTCCCGAGGAGGACACCCAGGACCTGAGGGCCCTCCTGCGCGCGGGCGAGCTCAAGAAGGAGAACGTCGTGGCGTTTAGTCCCGCGGACCTCCTGCAGCGCCTGCCCGAGGTGTAGCCCCTGGCGTTCGGCTCGGCGTTCAAGCCGCGCGCGCCTGGGGGGCCGCGGCGGGGGGGGCGCTGGGCGCTGGGGGGCGGCCTCGCGCGGGCCGACCTGGCGGAGTTCAAATGGTGCGACCTCTACGCGCAGGTGGCCCGGGGGCTGAACGACCCCGAGCGGGCGGGCCACAGCCAGAAGACCAGAAACAAGCTCAAGCGCGAGAAGATCGCGCAGGCCACGGCCGCCGCGCTGCGCTACGAGCAGCGCCGCAACCTTTCAGTCGGCAGCCTTGTTGGCTGGGGAGGCGCCGGGGCCTCCCCTGGTGCTCCATCCGCTGGCGGGCCGAGGGCGGACTTGGCGGTGGCCGCTGCGGTGGTCGGCGGCGCCGGCGCGAGCGCGGAGCGCCCGCCTCCTCTGCCCACGCCTGCGGCGCCGACCGGCGCGGAGGCGCCGCCGCCGCCGCTCGCGGGCCTCCCGCCGGACATCGAGTCCGCGCTGCGCGGCCCCGCAGTGGGGGGCAGCGAGTGGGGCGAAGTGGTCCGTGCGCTCCCATCTCAGGTCCTCCCGGGCAAGACCGAGTGGTTCTGGGGCCTCGAGCCCCTCTGTGAGTGAGTGGCCCCGCGCCTCGTTCGGCTCTGCGCGCGGCCTCGGCGTCGCGTCAACTTTTGCAGCTGTGTTGGCGCGCCAGCTCGCGGCGCGCTGAGGCTCTACCTGTGCCTCCCTTGCCTGCTCCTGCGCCTCGCAGTGGTGCTGGGGCCGGGCCGCGGGCTGTTGTTTTTTCGCGCCGCGCGCTCGCTCTGCCCTCGAAGTGTCAGCTCAGTGACCAGCCGTTTGGCTTGCTCCATCCTGCATCTTGCTGTAGGCCTTAGTCACCTGGCGCCCGCAGTGCTGCAGGGGTCGGGCGGCACTGGGGTCGCCCCGCGCGCTGCGCTTCCCGTTGTCAGTAGGTCTACTTGCGGCCAGGTCCGCCTCGGCGCACCTTGGCAACCTCGCTGCAGCGTCGTCAGCCCGCGATTCGCGCCCCGCCTTGCCTTGCGCTGCGCGCGGGTGCCTGCTGTGCACTCGGGTAATGAGGCAGCCACAGGACGCCCGTCCCAACGTGGTCGAGCCGCGGTGATGCAGCGCACGAGGCCGAAACTATTCGTAGTAGTAGTAGTAGTAGTAGTAGTAGTAGTAGTAGTAGTAGAAGTAGTAATAGTAGTAGTAGTCGTAGTAGTAGTAGTAGTAGTAGTAGTAGTCGTAGTCGTAGTCGTAGTCGTAGTCGTAGTCGTAGTAGTAGTAGTAGTAGTAGTAGTAGTAGTAGTAGTAGTAGTAGTAGTCGTAGTCGTAGTCGTAGTAACAGGTAGTAGTAGTAGTAGTAGTAGTAGTAGTAGTAGTAGTAGTGGTGGTAGTAGTAGTAGTAGTAGTGGTAGTAGTGGTAGTAGTAACAGTAGTAGTAGTAGTAGTAGTAGTAGTAGTAGTAGTAGTAGTAGTACTAATAGTCGTAGGCGTAGGCGTAGTTGTAGTCGTAGTAGTGGTAGTAGTAGTAGTAGTAGTAGTAGTAGTAGTAGTCGTCGTAGTAATCGTAGTCATAGTCCTAGTCGTAGTCGTAGTAGTAGTAGTAGTAGTAGTAGTAGTAGTAGTCGTAGTAGTAGTAGTAGTAGTAGTCGTAGTAGTAGTGGTAGTGGTAGTGGCAGTAGTAGTAGTAGTAGTCGTAGTAATAGTAGTGGTAGTAGTAGTGGTAGTAGTAGTCGTCGTCGTTGTCTTGTACTGGTAGTAGCAGTCGTTGCCTTAGTAGTTGTAGGAGTGGTCGCGGTTGTAGTAGAAGTAGTAGAAGCAACAGTAGCAGCGGCAGCAGCTGTCGCAGTAGCCGTAGCAGTAGTAATCGCTGTCGTACTTTGTAGTCGTAGTAGTTGTGGTAGTAGTAGTAGTAATAATAGTAGTAGTAGTAGTAGTAGTAGTAGTTGTAGTAGTAATAGTAGTAATAGTAGTAGTAGTAGTAGTAGTAGTAGTAGTAGTAATAGTAGTAGTAGTAGTAATAGTACTAGTAGTAGTAGTAGTAGTAGTAGTAGTAGTAGTAGTAGTAGTAGTAGTAGTAGTAGTAGTCGTAGTCGTAGTAGTAGTAGTAGTAGTAGTAGTAGTAGTAGTTGTTGTTGTTGTTGTTGTGGTAGTACTACTAATCGTATTATCATCATACCTACCGGTGTGATCTCGCACTGCTTTATTTCCGACCGTGCGCCCCCCCTGCCTGCTCCTCCTCTGCGCCCTCCTCTCCTTGCCCCTGAGCCCCCCACGCCCCCTCCCGCGCCCCCGCGCTCCGCCCCCGGCGCTTCCCCCGCCGTCCCCGGGCCCCCCTCCCCTTATTCCGACCGCGCGCCCCCCCGCCGCTCCTCCTTTGCGCCCCTCTCTCTGGCCCCCGGCGCCTCCTCCACCGCCCCCCGGCCCCCGCCGCCTTCTCTTCCGTGACCCCCCCGCCGTCCCCGAGCTCCCCCCCCGCCCTTATTCCGAGTGTCGCGCCCCCCCCCCCCATTCCTCCCCCGCCGCTCTCACAGCCGCCCCCCCCCTTTGCCCCCGCCCCCTTTCCTCCGTTCCCCCCGCGGCCACCCGCGCCCCTCTCCCCCGGCTTACCCCGCCGGCCCCCGGGCACCCTCCCCTCTATTTCCAACCGTGCGCTCCACCGCGCGCCGCCCCTGCGCCCCTCCTCTCCTGCGTTCGTCTTCTTTCCGCGGCCCCCCGGCATCCCGCTGCTATTCCGTTGCCCCCCCCCGCTATCCGGGCCCCGTGACGGCCTTAGTTGACCTTGCGCTCACCGCCGCTTCCTCTCCTGCCGCCATTCTCTCTCCTCGCCCCGTGCCCCTTCCGCGCCAGCCGGCCCCCGCGCCTTCTTTTCCGTGCCCCCCCGCGCGCCCGAGCCCGCGCCCCCCACTCCCCCGCGCTCCCGAAATTCCGACGTGCGGACCACCCCACCCCTCCTCCCCCCGCCCTTCCCCTTCGCTCCCTCCTCTTGCCGCCGCCCTCCCCCCACCCCCCCTCCGGGCGCCCCCGCTATTGCGCACCTCCCCCCCGGGCCCCCGCTCCGCATCCCGCCGCACCCCCCCCTGCCCTTCTTTATTCCGACCGTGCGCCCCCCGCCGCTCCGGCCCTGCGCCCCTCTCTCCTTGCCCCGGTGCTCCCTCCACGCTCCCCGGCCCCCGCGCATTCTCCTCCGTCG